CAAACCACATTATCTGTACTTTTAGGACACAGGTTATGTAGTTATTAAGGAAATCCAAAGAATAATAACAATTCTGAATATGTCTACAGAAAACACATATATTACAGTTCTATATCCTTAACTTTTTTCTTTAGTAGGGCAGAACATGAAATAGTAGAATTCACTTTAGGAGCATAGCTCTACTGACTATTTTTATTATAATTTGTGGTTAACAGTTTATTTAAATAGTTTCCACATGCAGCATTCTTCTGTTTAGCATCATTTTTTGCAAAGGATTTCTAAAGTAACTGTGATCATCTAACTAAGTTTAATAAATGTCACAGTCTTAGTAAAAATTTAATTTTAGGTAATCTAAGTTTTAAATTTAGAATGATTTAAAATTTGCAGGCATTTAATAAATTATCTCTTTTTTTGGAAGTCATTTCATCAGAAATGTAACCTTTCCAAAGCTTGTAGTCATATATTGTCTTTAGTTTAGTTTGAAAGTAATGAAAATCTCAAAAGAAAATGTTTATGTACGTTCCTGTTTATTTGAAAGATATTTATATTTCTCTTAATGCCTGGAACTTGCTTTAAAACAAAAATCAGTATTGGCATCATGAACCTATAGAAAAGCCTGACATGTCAGAAATATGTTTATATCCATGTTTCTTTTATTTTGCATAAGCCTGTGGTCAGATCATTTTATGTATATGCAGCCTCGAATATCAAGTACAATACTAGTTCAGTGGTGCTACATTTACTTTATAAACTGGTTTTGATTTTTGTCATATAGAATACTGCCTAGATCATCATAATATAATCTGTATTTGTGTACCTTTTTATATCAAATGTCTTTAAATAAAGTAGAAAAATAAAATACCTTGTGCTCCCTACTGATCACATCTCCTTGCATCCCTGCCAGAGGTAGTCAGTATTTTAAAAGCTTCATTTATGGTTCCCATGTTTGTCTTTATTGTCTTCAAAAAACCTACATGTGTACACTTAAAAGGATTATGCAGTTGATTGCTTTTGGCCTCTTAGAAATATAGTGTATGCATTTACACAGGGAATTTGTTACTTATTTTTTCCACTCAGTACTGTGCCTCATATTCATCCATGTTGACATATTTCAGTACGCATTTTTTCCTAACATGCTACACAGATAATCTATCATTTGAATTGACCATAAGCTATAAGCCTTTTCTATTGCAAGTAGATAATACATCTACGGTTTTGCTACTGCAAAGACAGCTACTATTAACATTTGTTATACATGCCTACTGTGCACAGTTACATGAGTTTTTCTTGATTCTATTACTTAGGGACAGAATTGCTGTTTCTTGTAGTACTAGGATTTTTCAGTCAGAAGAATGTGTACAAGTTCCTTCTATACTATATATTCATCAATGGCTGATAGTTTTGTATATTTTTAAAACTTTGTCAATCTGTTGGATTAAAAAGGAGACTAACAAGAAATTCTGATTTTTGGAATAATTTTCCTGGATTACAAACAAAGTCGAACAATTTTTATGACTATTGGCAAACTGTTTTTTTTTCTGCAAAATGTCCACTCTCCTTACATTTTCATAGTTTTCTACTGAATTGTTGAAATTTTTATGTATGAAGAATATTAATTCTTTGACATATTTAGGACCTCTCTTTTGGTCCTCTTTACAGTAACTTTGGGTGTAATAACAATGTTATTACATTCAGAGGTATCTATGCCTTCTGTCATTCTTATTTTAAAGATGTTTTCCTATTTTTCAATTAAAATATTTCCTTGTTTTCTGAAAGAGTTATATTCTTCACACTTAAATGTGTAATTTATTGGGAATTACTTTTCATGTATGACATGAGATAAGAGAGTTTCATTGTTTTTATTGCAAATAAATGCCCTTTCCCTCTCATTGGTACGGATTGTGCTTCCTAGGCGATGATTCTACCACTGAGTTATAGCCTCAATTTTCCAAGTTTTACCAGGTTTTCAGGTATTATGATTAGTGAGCTGACAGGTAGACTCACAGATGTGCCAAGACGATAGTCTCTAGAACCTCCAAGAGTTGCTCTATATGTCACAACAGTAAATATTACTTTACGTCATAAAACACGATTAAATTAAAGCTCTTGAGAGCAGCTATTTCCCCACATTGTCCAGTGGACCTAAGTGCAATCACATGCGTCCACAGGGAAGAGAAAGATGGTAGTGGTGGGGTTAACACTACACATACAATGAAGACAATGCTCGCGAGGAGGAGAGGTGAGACCCTAAGCCAAGGATACCAAATGAAACCAAAGCTTGAAGAAACAAAGAGTATCATCACCACACGACAACCACCCTCAAGCCTCCAGGGACAGGATGGCTCCACCAAAATCTGATTTCAGACTTCACACCCACACAGCTGTGAGACAATAATTGTGTTAAGGAATTCATCGTGCTGCTGTATTTTGTTATAACAGCTCCAAGAAACAAAGCAGCATTGAAAATTAGAGCTTACAGGCAAAGAAGCCTTGGGATCAAACTCTAAATTCAATTAACTGAGTAAGTGAAGAGCTGTAGCTAAATTACTTATACTTACTGGCTCTTATCTGACTCATCTATAAAGTGGGAATATACTAGTCGCCTTCCATTTAATCTTTAGTTTAAGAGGCAGTTTATGTTTGGTCAACATGCTCTCACCATAGGAAGCATACAACGTATACCTTTCAATATGCCAGCTACCGTAGTCATTTTTAAAATTGCTTGAAACACAAAATTATTTTAGAAGAGTTATTCAACTGAAAATCTGGAGAAGTCACTTCAGAATTACTTTGATGGAAATACATTAATATGCAACTATTTTGTCTATTTTCAATTTTTACTACTTGAGCTAGGAGAGGACAATGAAGGAAACAGAGATGGCCAAGGTCTCATCCATTTCACAGAAATAGAGCTGGCAGACGTGGACACTGATGTACGCACACCTGCCATCCATCATGCTCTCCTTATCTGAAGTATCTTGTTATTCTAATATCCTCTCAGTTTTTGAGTCTTGGAGCTGAGGTCTAAGCAGCAAGACTCTCTCATATTTAGGAAGGACTGGCTTAGGAATAGACCTGTACTATGATCTGGCCAAAAAGACTCAACTCCTTTGTTGAGTGCTTCCTAGAAAGTTCTGTTTTGCTTAAGAGTCTAGAAATATTCTTTTTTTAACTCAAGATACACACATAAGAATGCTACTCCTGCTATTTGTGACATTTTAGGATGAAGGTAGCACTTTAGAATACAAAGTGGAGGAATGTTTATGTTATTAACATGTTAAATCAGTGGAAAATCACTTCATCCTACCTTCTCACTCTCAGTTAAGCAAACCAATAACATTCTCCCTTTTTGAGCGTCAGTTCTGAATTACAATTTTGGTTACTTGCACAGAGCACACCTAAAATAGATAGTACAAGTCAGGCTATGAGAACACTCCTCTCCACTCACCTGAACCTGAAACTGGGTAACATCCCAGGGCCAACCCTCTTGACCTTTGTTCTAAAACCCACTACCTAAAAGAACACCACCCTGGAAGTTCCCAGAATTCTGGGCATATGTGTGGTAGACCTTTGACCTTTCTTCTCTTGAAACTTTCTAAAGGTTCCTACACATGCTCTGCATCTCACAGATCCAATTATAACCAAGTGAATTACTGAATAGGAAGGACAGGCACCGTTGTTAATCACATTCCAAATTACCCAATGAGAGGCGTCCTAGATCTGGCACACACAATTCAAATCTCTGAGCCAAACTTATTCCACTATCTCACCCCACTTCTCTTTTGCTGCTGGAATGAGCCTGCTTGCTGTGAACATCCCCTTCCCTTTATAGTTTACTAAACTCAACTGTTTTTCCTTACTGTCGCATGTAACATCCAATTCTTTCTTCACTGCATGCAAGAAACTAGAAATCTGTTCCAAAACTCCACCCCATACATAGTAACACATATCCTAAGTGATACACTGACCTATCGAGTGCTAGACACAGCTCAGACCCTAAATAAACCCATTTTTCATTGCCAAAGCTCATGGCCCAAATAAACACACAGTCACTGAAATTTAATTATTTAAACTCAAATGTACAGCAGGTCCCATATGGAAAACTGGGAAGAAAAGAGCTTCACCAACTAAGACGAAAACTAGAGAGGATATTCGTAGTTTGAATTTTTTTCTTTTGTTTTTTAGATTTGGGAAAAGGAAGAAAAACGTTCTATGAAAATAGTGTGCTATTAACTACATAGCAGTTGGCTCATAATCCTTTCATTGTAAAATTTGCTTAAAATGAGTTTTCCCTGTATAAAATTGCCATAAGAACATATGGTTCCTCTAAAATTCTCCAGTTGGATAATGTTTCCTGCTAAAATATGCTGAGTCCTCTCAGGAATGTGCTAAATGCAATGTGATTTGGAGGGTGAATCAAAGTGACAATCTTTTAAAAATACCTAAACATTTACATTCACTAGGTTACAAGGCATAAATAATAAATTTTACTATATGGTCTAACAGGAAAAGCTGAAAACATACAGAAAAGGACATGTAACTTAAAGTAGGATGGCTTTATACATTATTTGGATAAATCTTGGTAAATCAGAAATTATAGCTGAAACTACATTTTCACAAGGAAAGAAAACTTGTTTTGTCTTCTGCCATTTATAAGAGGTGGTTTATTATTTTCACACAAAAAAATTAATCCAAGCTTAATGATGGCTGTCCTATTAAATAACTAAGTATCACTTTCAATTTGGTATCTTGAGTTTATATTCCATAATCTCTCACTTTGCGTGGAATTTGGTATCCTGAGTTTATACTCCATAACCGCTCATTTGTTACAAAATAAAATGTTAATGGATTCTGAGAATGATTTCATAAAATAATGGAGTGTTTCTGGAGCAACCTTTTGAGTGGAAAAGGGAGGGTAGCATCTCCATAGATGTCTGGAAATCCAAGGACAGACACATGGATAAGAAAAATTTTGTTCAATGTTCTACTTGTATACTTACTTATTGCTAACTATAGTGTCACAATAAATTCTGTAGAATTTTTTTATTATAGATGAATACAGACTGGAATGAAAAAGTTTTGATCCTGTGTTTTCTTATCTTTTTTAGGGCAAAGTTTGTCTGTTGTTTACTATTCCAGCTCTTCAAAACCAACATTGATCTATAAGCAAAAAAAAAGTTATTTAAAAGGAGTATCAAGAGAGAAGCATAAATATCAAGTGGTGATGTCACTTAAAGTCACTGTGTCATTTAAGCTCTTATCAAATGCTTAAATCTGTGATCCACTGTTCTCTAGCTTTCTGTCCTCCTGCATCACGTCCCATAACTATATTAGCATATATTTTTACATTTCTGCATATTAAAGCAACAAGAAATGAGAACTACAAGACTAAAATATGTAATCATCTGAGTGTTTATTTATGGGTTCACAAACACTTACATGATATATAATATACTATAACGATCTAAAAAGTAAAATTATCAAGTCTGCATTCTACACCAAGAGATGGCAAATACTTTCTATAATGATCCAGATAGTAAACATTTTAGTTTTGTACACAGGTTCTTTCACAATTGTTCAAGTCTGCCACTGCAATGAAAAAAGTGGCTATCACTTCTCAGCCTTTTGGCTAAGATCAAGTGCAATGCAAAAAGTGGCTATGGAAAATTAGTAAGTAAAAGAGGATGGTTCTCTTTCCATAATCTTTACTTACAGAAATTGAAATGTGAATTTTATATAATATTCACACCATTAAATATTTTTCTTTTGATTTTCTTTCAACTATTTTTAAAAATGTATAAACAAGTCTTAATTCGTAGTTGTAAAAAATACGCAGTAGGTAGGTTTGGCCCACTGAGCCACAGTTTCTAAGCCTAACCTATCTTAAATACCTCAGAATTGTGACAGCCAAGAATAATTCAGCATCTTTTCCTTTCTAGTCCTTGAGCTAAGCACTTTTATCTTTTTCAATATGAAAAATCATTAAGGATGAACAAGAGACTTATTTGAAAGCACCTTGCTTTTCTTCTGTAGTTTAAGGTCTTAAATTTTATCTTTGGTCCATTTTCAATTGATTTTTTTGTTTTCATATGATGAGTGATAGGAATCCAGTTTTATTCTTCTGTGTTTGGGTAGGCAGTTTTCTCCAAACCATTTTCTGAAAAGACTAACTGTCCAAAGTATATTCCTGGCTCTTTTATCAAAAATATCAGTTGGCTATAAATATATGGATTTATTTCTCAATTCTACATTATGTTCTATTAGTCTAGATATCTGTTTTTTGCTGGTACTATGCTGTTTTGGTTACTATATCTTTACAGACTATCTGGAAGTCAGCTATTGTGATGTTTCATGCCTCTAGCTGTGCTCTTTCTGCTCAGGATTGCTATAGCTATTCAGTCTTGTGGTTTCATATGAACTGTAGGATTTTTTTCCTCTTTCTGTGAAGTCACTGGTAGAAGAGTACAAAAAGCAAATACTTCAAAAAATTTATAGGAACAAAGATATTTTAGAAAAGAACCAAAAAAGCTTAGGAAGCAAAAATAAAAATGGGATATCAAATTAAAAAGTTATTACAAACAAAGAAAATAACAGAGTAAAAAGACAACCTGCAGACTGAGAAAATATTTGCAAACTATTCATCTAATCCAGAATACATAGGTATCTCAACTCAACAGCACATGAAACACAAAGAAATCTAATTTTAAACTGGGCAAATTATCTGAATAAACATAACTCAAAAAAAGACAAATGATCAATATGTATGTGACTAAAAAGCTCAACATCACTAATCATCAGGGAAATGCAAATCAAAATTACAATGAGCTGGGACCACAATTAAAATGGCTGTCATAAGAAAGAAAAAAGTTCACAAATTTTTGTACAATGCAGAGGAAGATCACTTAAACACTCATAATGGGAATGTAAATTAGTACAGCCACTATGAAAAAAACAGTATGGAAGTTCCTCAAAAAGCTAAGGATAAAGCCGGGCGTGGTGGCACATACCTGTATTCCCAGCACTCGAGAGGCTGAGGCAGGAGGATTGCTGTGAGTTCGAGACCAGCCTGGGCTACATAGTGAGTTCCAGGTCAGTCTCAACTACATAGTGAGACCCTGTCTCAAACAACAAAACAAAACAAAAAATCTAAGGATAAAACTACTAATATGAGTGTGTGTGTGTGTGTGTGTGTGTGTGTGTGTGTATATATA